GGGGTGGGCAAACGAAGGCGGTCGAAAGTAATCAAATAATACGGCGCGTCAGACCCTAATTAGAAGCGCTTCGATCTGCCCGCGGGGGCTGGTAATCGAATCCGCTGGCTCTAATTAAGACTACTGGCTTTTCATTTTTTTTCCTCCCCGCTCCGCGGTAGCGCTGGACGGCGTGCGAGTTAAACTCGTGGTGGCGTGCGGGCAGCTGGCGAGATGAATTCTTCTGACATCTTTTTTAATTAAATCAGAAGGGGGGGTGTGTACCCTCAGGCCCATCCTTCGAGCCCCCACCCCTCCCCTCCCCCCTCCCCTCCCAGCGGAGCAGGCCTGTCAGGCACTGTAAAGAGGGATTAGACACACGAGGGGGGTGGGCTCTCCTAATGGGCGCCATTGATCTCACCTGCCTTTTATTCCTGATAACATTTGCAGTTCAATTAATGGCTCAAAGATCCAGAAAAGCGGCTGTAGCAGGTTGAGGCTGGGTGTCCCATCCAAGGTGGGGGTGTGGGATGGGGGCAGGGGGTAATGGAGCATGCCACTGGAAAGGGGAGGGGGACTCAAGATTCACACACCACTTGGCCTGGCTGGGCTAAGCTTGGCTTGGCCTGACTTTGCAAGACCTTTTATGTATGTGTTTTTTTATATATAACATATGCGTGTATGTATGTGTGTGTGTATATATATATATATATATATATATGCGTGCTGTGGCAGCTAGGGGATGTAGCGGTTAATACAAGAACGCAATTCTACAGCTGAAGGGATGCAGCTGTTGAACCCTCACACCGAATTACTTCAATAGCCAGATTTCAAAGGAATATCAAAAGAATCAAGGGAATATGACCTGCAGTTAAGCAGGGAAAAAGTAGTAACATCTTCTGTAGCAATTACTATTAATTATGAGATTTATAAGATGGTCGGCATGACACCTGTCCAAAATCAGCCATCAAACACCCTTCTCTCCACTCTCACTGACTAATGAGCGCGGTTATCAACAATAGCCGCTTACCTGTGAGCAGGCGATGCCGAACGCCACGCCGGCAATGATGCCCATGTTGGTCTCAATGAAGGAGGTCACCAGCTCATAGCAGCCCTGTGCAGAAAGGACGTGTTAACATGAACAGATATGGCTGGGGATGGGCAGGGAGGGAGGTAAGCTAACAGACTGGCCGCCACAAGCTCATCTGAACATGGCGCAGGGGTGAGGCACAGTCAGCCTGCAGACTGGACAGTAGGGGGCTCACGCTCGGAAGAAGACAATGGATCCGGACAGTGACGCGAAACCGAACTGGGGAGTGGATCAGTAGTTAAGCTCCCCCATCCCGCCCCCAGAGCGTGCCACGCCTCCTCCCTGGCTGACCTGCTGGTGCACCTTGCCCGGGGCGACGGTGGAGTTGCGCAGGTCCTCGGGGCTGCAGTCGGACAGATCGCTGCAGCAGCTGCGGGGTAAGCCTCTGGCAGGGTAGTAGATGCTGGTGAACCAGCTGGTGTAGTTTAACACCCCACAGCAATGCAGCTGCATGGGGGAGGAGGGAGGAAAACATGCAGAAGAACATAATCACCATTCAGCCCGTCCACTAAGCGGACGGCTTGGCTTTTCCCATATGCAGTAATGCCTTTTAAATGAGTATAAAATGGCTCCTCCTCGCCGCCAGACTCACGCTGCGCTGGACATTGTCCACAGCCAGGCTTCTCTCATCCTCTGCATTGTACTCCTTCACAGCTTCACTGTACGTCCTCAGGAACGTGCCCTTTATCTGGGGGGTGGGCAGTGTCTTATTTCTCTTTTATACTTTTTAGCACTTTGTACCTTCACCCGCCACAAAGGTCTATCGCTATGGGGAGAGAAGCTGACAGCCCCCAGACACCCCCAGTTAGCTGCCCCTGGGGCTGCGATCCACTCGGGGACACCTACCTCATGCCGGAATACAAAGCCTGAGATTCCAGCGACCAGCTCAGCCAGGAAGACGAGGGACAGGAACATGGCGTACTGTGAAGACAGAGAGAGACAGGAAGAGTGAGGGATGGGCGAGAGAGAGAGAGAGGGACAGAGGGCGACGGGGACACAACGGAGAGAGAGAGGGACAGAGGGCGACGGGGACACAACGGAGAGAGAGAGGGACAGAGGGCGACGGGGACACAACGGAGAGAGCGAGGGAGACAGAGAGAGAGAGGGACAGAGGGCGACGGGGACACAATGGGGAGAGAGAGGCACAGAGAGTGACAGAGGAAGAAGCTAAGAGGAAAAACTGAGGGAGGGAGACTGACATGATGGACAGAGGTGAAGAGAAGGAGACAAGGGGACAAAGAAAGGGAGACAGGGAGGAAAAGAGGGAGAAAGACACAGGAACAGAAACAGAGAGGGGGAACAAAAAGAGCGACAGAGCGAGAGAGAAGGGGACAGGCACAAAGGACTGAGAGAATCTGTGAAACAGGAAACATACATCCCCTCCCTTTTTTAAGGGAACTAGTTGCAGACATCACCTGTGACTGGGGGGTGGGTGCAGACAAACCAGCCAGGATGGAAGGTTACTGGCCACCAGCCTGTAGGTGGGACTCCCCCAGTATCCCTCAATGCACTGTGCATTAACATAAGGTGGCTCTGTTATTACATGTGTCACGTCCCACAATTAGTGCCGCTGTTGTCGTCGCTAAACGACGTTATTAGCGCCACGGATGGCGCCTGGTGCATTCAGCGTTATCGTGCTCATGCAGGTAAGGAACGTAATCTGAACAGAGCTGACGGCACAGCGCCTCCTGCAGGCCGCTGACTGTACAGGCCCATCCGCTGGCCTGAATGCTGCTGCATCTTCATTCCACAGCGGTGAGTTTTGTGACGACTATGTACAGCTACATATGCAACTGGATCCCGGATGTTAGGCACGTTTTAAATGCAAAATTTAATCTAAATTGTACATATAAAATCAAGGTCATATGAAACCAACTGTCATGAGAAGTGTGTGCTTATGTGCACGTGTGACAAGTGCAGGAGTGTGTCACTGAGAGACAGTTCATGTGTGTGTGTGTGTGTGTGTGTGTGTGTGTGTGGGATCCAGCTGGCATCTCCCACTGAATCTGAGAAGTGTCGGCCGACCCCCACGTGTCTCCTTTTAAAGGCCAACCCCTCCCACTCTGTCAGGGGGAGGCACTGCGGAGGCTCAGCATTAAAATGCCAGAGGAGACCAATTAAAGAGACGGAGAGAGGGAGCGGTAGATGGGGGGGGTGAGAGACAGGAGCAGAGCGCGGCGGAATGCAGGAAGCCGTGTTCATCAGCCCTAACGGCTCCAGATTACTCAAACAATATTTAATTTCCTCAGCATGCTGCCCCCCCCCACTCCATCCCAGCAGCCTCAAACGTGCCAGAGGACAGAGGCTCCCACTGGTTTGGATGCACCCCCCCACTATCTATGGCTGGGGAGGGGAGTCAGCAGAGCCAACATGGCAAAGCAGAGGAAGACGCCTCCAGGTTCAGTGAGATAAACAGGACCGTAACCTCGAGGTCCGGGGGGCAGGATGGCAGACCTCCTCATCAGGAGAAGGGGACTGCGGAAGGCAATGCGGGGGTCACGGGAAAGCCAGTGTGTCGCTGAAGCTGGCAGTTCCAGAATGATCCCTGTGCCACCCCCACCCCCTCACCAGCTTCAGCATCCAGGGGCTGCCGCGGCATGTGGCCACGCAGCCGAAGAGGCCGAAGAGGATGATGGTGATGCCTGTGCCGATGAGCACATAGGGGGCGTTGGTGGTGTTGTCGGCGATCAGGGAGATGTAGGGCCCCAACATCAGCTTCCCCCACACCCCAACAGCGAGGAGGATGGCCCCCGTGACCTGCAGGAAGAGGACGAGAAGAGGAGGGAGGACACGGCATCAGCGCAGCGTGACGACACCGAGAGCTTCGGCACGGTCCCGAGCCTCGTCCTTCAACCTCCAGTGTTGGCGCCCATCTGCCGCCCCAGACACAGCAGCAACCACACGTGATATTTTGCTGCCCCCTGGTGGTAGAACCAGGACATGTCCTAAGAATGTTAAAGACCTTCATACCTAGTATTAAAAGAGTACTGAAATAATAACCTGTGACTGTTTTTATGTACTGCAAATGGCCTCCTAATGAAACTTGGTTTGTGTCAAGTAGCGCAGCACTGACATACAGCACTGACTGGGTAGAACATAGACCAAACCTCACTAATTAGACGAGTGCCCTGAATCGGGTCCCTCCCAACAAGCTGCAGTACTTGTTCATGCCAGCAGTGTGCTATCTGAGCTCGGACCTACCTAAGCTCCCCTTCTTCCATAAATGGGATCAAAGGTTTATAATGAGCGTGACACAGTCAGATGCAAGTGGAGATCTTCGTCGATCTTCTTTCAGCTGGGCTTGGACATGTCACAGGTCTAACCGCTAGCCTCGGATTCATAAAGCAAACTGTTTTGGTGAGGAGGGCTCCAGGCACTCGGAGTTCCCTGTATGGAAAAGCCGCCTTGAGGTCTGGTGAAGGAGCAGCCGCAGACTGCGGAAGACTCTGGTCTGTTGGTTTTATTGGTCTTCATTAATTCCTTTGGCACACGTTATGTCTCGTTTTGGTGTTGACCATAGCGCCAGTCTCCCAGAAGGTTGGAGGTACTGGCACCATGGTGCCCCTAGCAAAGGCAGGGATGGATTATAACTCAGAGGGAGCGAAAACATGGACCGGCTGTGGGTTCCTGAGGACCGCATTGGGCAAGACTAGCCTCAAGCTTTTTTGATGACTTAAGGGTTGGTTGTTGTACCTTTGAACAGGTACCTGGATTGTTCTTGTAATTGGGTAATATCATACTAGTTCTGTCCCTTTTGCAGCAGGCTGGGAGGGGCAGTTAGCAGACAGACAGGCGTGTGCTTGTCCCGGCATGTCTGCTGGCTGGGGTGAGGGCACATTGTAATGCCTGATGGCAAGACGCAGAAAAGATCCCCAGGAGCGTTCTTTAACATAGTAGTGCCCGGCGGCCATGAGCCATGACAGACCTCCCCTGGGCCTGTAACCGCGGCACTTCTCTGCCTCTCTCAGATGAAGTGTCACCCCCCCACCCCCCAAAATTAACAAGGAGAAGCAGGAGCGCCAGATTACACAGCCTTGAAGTGACAGAAACAAGAAATGCCCTGACGTGAGGGCGTGGCCTGATAACCCCACCCTTCTTTCTAAGTACGTTCCTACACCCACCAATCAAAGGCTCCTCCTACTGCTGTGTCATCGACTGGGCTGTAGCACTTCCAGGATCCTAAACGAGCACGGGGTGCACCAGCATAGGCGAGGGGGCAGACTGGCCAGGGCACTGGGGTGGAGCTGCTTAATTCTTAATGAGGAGACGAGGTATCCCGTGGTGATTGGGCTGTGGGCCGCGGTGATCCGAGCGCCAGCAGAGTGAGCAAACAGGACGGCAGGAACACAGATGGGTTGTGTCACTGGGGCCCCCCCATAGCTGTGACACACTGGCCACCTCCCTCCTGCTGGGGCTCATGCATAATTCAAGGGGCTGCAGACTGCTTGCCCGCACCCCCCTACTACTGGGTCAGGGAGTCTTCCGAATTGCCTCTGGGGACACGAGCATCCCAAATCAACAGAGACAGCGCCGGTGACAACAGCCTCTCGGGGACTCGTGTAGGAGAGGTGTCTCCCAGCATGCCTCAGGGGGCTGGAGAAAGAAGGACGGGGTAACTACACTGGGTTTGCGGAGGAATGGGGTGTTTGGAGGGGGGGAAGGGGTTGTTGTGAATCAGATGGAAGCCATTTTGAGGATTTAAAAACAATAGCCTCAGCACAGAAATCAAGATATCCGTAATTAAATCGACGTGGCGCCGGCGAGATCGACAGGGCAATTAAAAGCTGAACAGGATTAAATACGAGTGGCGGAACGGAAGCGCGTGACGGGAATGCCAAAGGGGGAGGGGAGCGTCTCTGTCGCCACGGAGACGAGATCGCAGTGGGTCTGAGAAACCGGGAGGTGCCAACAGCATCTGGCCTTTAATCACGTCTAACAGGGGTTGCCAGGAGAACACCAGCGCCACCCTGTGGCAGACCGTAGAATCACTACATCACGACAACCCAGCAGGGTATTAAGTATCATGTGACTTTGTACCATACCGGGCTGGTCTGTTGGGTGCTCCCCTGTATTCACAGCCAGCCTGAGCCCGTCATCATACAGATGTCCATGCAGGCCGCCACCGTTTACGAACTCGGGACCACTCGCTGGAATCCTGCCCTGGGTCCTAGTGTCAGCTGGTGTTTTGTTAATTTTAGTTGATTGGTTCAGAGGCGGCTCTCCTTCCTCTGCAGTAATCATGTTTGTGTTTGGGGGCGGGCAAGGGGAGGGGGGGTTTTGTGGGAGCCTCCTAGGTTCCCCACCCCTCAAAAAAATATGACGCAAAGCAGCCTGAAGGCAGAAACGCCAAAGTGCATTAATGAACGTGCAGGGTGCAGGGTGCAGGGTGCAGGGTGCAGTCTGCATTTCCGACAACATGTGTGACGCAAAGCCTCTAATGGGTGCAGACGGAGGGGTAGCAAGTATCCAGGGAGGTGTCAAGGGCACCCCACATGACGAGAGGTCCTTTTTCGGCGGTGGGAGGGAGCATAATCCTTGGCGATGCACACGCGTGGGGGGGGTGCAATTTAAAAAAATCGGCCTTTGATTCAAAGGAAGTCACATCTCTTGTTCTCTTCCTCTTAGCATTTCAAATGATGAAGCCTGATCAAAGCCGCCCCCCCGGTCTGCCCGCTGCCGCTTCGCACAGGGGCGGAGGGGCCCGATCTGCCCGCTTTGATGACAAGCAGGCTGCTTTCCATTTTTGGCTTGGGCAGGTTGTCTCCCACCAGGCCAGTCTGTCTCGCCATCCTCTCGGACCGCCTTCCCCTCCTGCCTGACAGTCTGGCTCCAGCCTCAAGCGGCCATGATTACCATCATCCCTGAGTCATCCTGCCCTGACTGCCACAAAACTGCCTGTTTATCAGAAGAGGAGAACCTGAGCTCACTCAGCGGCCAACCAGCGATTATGCTTTGACTCGACTGTGACTCAGGACTACATATGGACATTCTAAGAAATTGAGAAAGCGCCCAGTGCAGACAGAGTAATGACCTTGAAAAGGTTAAATGACCTTAGAGCACATGCAAATAAGATTTAGATCTAGCTGGGCAGGGCAGCGTGTTGAAGGCCTGATCACGTTTGGCACGGCCTCATCAGTGAGAGACGTTCTCCTCAGAAACACCTTCTGCCGTCTGTTTCAGCGCCAGCTCCCTCACACTCTCTCTTCCTCCGTTTCTCTGCCGCACACGCTCTGTCACTCGGTGCTAATCGGGCACAAACAAACCGGCGAAGTTGGTGCCGCTCCTCCCAGCAAAGTCGAGTGGGTTCCATCCCGCGCCCTGATAATCACCAGTGCCGGGAGAGTACAAAGCTCAGGGAACGCAGACAGGAGGCACGGCGCCGCGGGGGGGAACAGCGTCCTGCCAAAGCTGTGATATGCTGACGTGCTTTAAGACATCAGACTCTTAAATGCAGATAATCTTCAGGTTCTTCCCGAGGTAACGTGATAAGACAAAAGCGCAGCCACCCAAACGACAGTCCATCTCCATAGCAACCGCATCCACCCAGTAATACCCTACCTATCACCCGCCGGCCCCAGTGCTGTCACATCTCACAGCTTGCTTTGCTGCCCCTTGTCACCCCACCTGTGCTGTGACCTGACCTGCCTGGCTGCCACAGGGTGGAGGTCAGGTGCCCCGGCGGCTAGCGGCTTTGCATTCCTCGCCAAACTCACAGCGGGGAGACGTCACACCTGGCCAGATGTCACGTTGTCTGTGCCCCTCAATTTCCCTGCATGCAACACACACTCTTCCTCTGAGTCACATTCAGAGGAGTAAACAAACAGAGCATAAACATACTGCCCTGATCCTGGCCTGAGCCAGCTGCACCACCACAGATGGTAAAAGAAAAAATGTTGGTCCTGCTTACACAACCGCGAGTATGCAGTGAGAGCGGAGACAGGGATGGACTTAAATACTCACCAAGCGCAGGCTGCTGTTGTCCTCCCACTTCCCACAGCTGGACCGGCGTGCTTCACGTGAAGCGGCAGCCTGGGCTGTGCTAATTAAGGCTAATTGATCTTTTGGAATCATGGTGCAATGGCGCTGCCAGTGATTACTGGAAAGTGTTGAGCCATTTATCCAGTTAACATGCTAATTTAACAGGAGCGGAGATTAGTGGCCGGACTTTGCGTTGCTTCCCGCCTCAGTACTGCTAGGTATCCGCATCAGGGTGGCGTGTGAGGTGAGCACAGCGTTCATTAACAGTAGGAGAGGAAGGCCATCATTTCAGCGTCATCCTAATGGGTCACTGAATCCACCGCGCCGTTTGCTAGTGCACAAATATGGCGTCTTTTTGTAGTCCAGCAGACCAAATAATCACCTTACGTGAGTCAACAGTGCATGTAAGATGCCGATGGAGCAGGAAGTGATCCAGCCACTTGCTTTTAGACGAACACATCTGCCCTCCTTGTGGCGATGGTGCGCAGAAAGAGCTCCCCCTACTTTTGATATCAGCACCTGCGAGTGATGGATTTGGGAGTCTGCCTGGCTGCAAATAGCGGGGGGGAACCGCAGGCCACACGCGTGGAGAGAGCGGCACGTATCGCGCAGAGCGGGGATTACAGCCCAGGCTAATTATCCCCCGAGCCTGAGTGCTGACGGGGTGACCCCACTTGACTAATGAGATAGCAGCACGAACCAGGAAACAGGCCGGGGCTGGAATTTAATCAAAGTGTCCGCCGTTCGGTTAATCTCCAACAAACCGCACCATGTCAGAT